GCATGGGGCGGCAGATCAGTGGGTCTCCGTGTCTCTCAGGCGTGAGCCATGTCTTATGCGCTGGCCGTGTCGGCTGAGCCTCAGTTTCCCCCGTACTAAGCAGACTTGCCCGGCGCTGCGGGAGGGGTGAGACGTACGAGGCACATCCGTGGTGGGGGCCAGAGTTAATGATGCCAACTGGTTGCGCCTTGCAGCTCGGGAGCAGCGTTCCGGCCCCTCCCGACAGGCCGAGGAGTTTGGGTCCCTAGAAGCCTAACGGGGGGATTTTCCAGAGACAAGGCCTGGTGTCTCCCTGCTCCCTGAGCCTTTCCCGACCTGGCCGGGGCCGTGGGTGGGGGAGTTTGTGGTGTCCACGAGGGAGGCCCGGGGCCTGTGTGGAGCGTTTCAAGGCTGAAACTCTTCAGGAAGGAAAAGCTGCCAGGTAAAGTCTGCAATTCCCCTGGCGATTAGGAACCGTGGTGCCCAGACAGGCACAAACCAGCCCCTGTAGCCATTTAAGGCTGTCGCGTGGGAAGGGCGCAAAGAACGAGCAAGGCAGCACTAGCCACGGCACGTGGAAAATCAGACTTAAAACCCTGGCACTTGGAATCGCCCCCCCCCCCCCCCGGCTTGGGCAGGTCGCTTTGCCCCCCCTTTGGAAAACTGCGCTTGTGCTGCCCTGCCCCCCATTGCAGCCCGAAGGCCTCGCCCGCCAGACCCCGTAGGCGGGAGGTTGGGGCTCGGCTTGTTTCTCGGGCAGCCAGGCAGAGGGAGGGTCCAGCCAGGCGCCGTGCCGGGAGGTAGAAAGGCAGAGCGCCGCCGGAGGGCCGCGCCCGCGTCTGGGGTCTCTTGGGTCCATGCCGGGCGGGCGTGGCTCCTGGGGCGGGTCGCTGCTGGAGGCTGGCGTGTCCACGTCACTGAGTCCTCGCGCCGCTCGCCGGGCTCCGTCTCTCCGGCCTCGGGTCTGCGCCCGCCCCGGTGAGCCTCAGTGCCCCCTCCCGCCGGGCTCCCGGCCCCCGCGGACACGGCCTCTGCCTCTCTTGCCAGGACGCCACCCCCACCTCCGAGGAGCTGGAGCAGTTTGCCAAAGACCTGAAGCACAAGCGCATCACACTGGGCTTCACCCAGGCCGACGTGGGGATGGCTCTGGGGACTCTGTATGGTGAGTGCGTCCCTCCCCACGCGCATCCGCTGCCTCTGGGGGAGGGGGGGTCTCAGTGCAGAACGGGAGAATGGGGGAGGGGCAGCCCCGGAATCCTGGGGGGGGGGCAGCCCCGGGCCCCCCTTGGTGCTGTGCGGCTTCTTGCCCCATGGGGCGCTCAGAGTGGCTGGAGGGGTTTGGATGCTCCTTGCAGCGAGCCCTGAGTGAACGTGGGGCGACGCTGGGGGGACCCCGACCTGACACTATGTAGGGCTCTGCTGTCCCGGCTGCGGCCTCGCAAGAGGAGACGGGGTCCTGGGGAGGAAGCAGCGTTCTCTGGAGCCGAGTGAGCAGCCCCTGGGCTCTGAGATCCAGCTGTTGAGGGGGAGACTCAAGCGCCCCCTGAGTCCCCAGGAAGGGAGGGGGCCCCCCCGTTAGGAGGGAAGGGAGCCATGGGGACGTGCGAGGTACATCTCCCACGTGGATGCTCCGGGGCCTGCGTGAATGGTGCGTCTCTCCCCAGGGAAGATGTTTAGCCAGACGACAATCTGCCGCTTCGAAGCCCTCCAGCTGAGCTTCAAGAACATGTGCAAGCTGAAGCCACTGCTGCAGCGCTGGCTGAACGAGGCGGAGAACAGCGACGGCCTGCAGGAGGTAAGAGGGGCCAGGCCGGGGCTCGCTGCTGCTGAGCAAGGGGCATGTGATGCCCTCATGGGCAGCTCTGGAACCGATGGCCTAGTCGCAGGCAAAGTCCTTCCTGGCCCTGGCTGTCGGCTGGGGCCATGTTGGGGGCTCGTGCCCCTTGGGAACGTTTTGTCCGTTCTGCGGTGGCTGTGGAGGAGCAGGACGTGTGGGGCTGCTCTCGAGAGCTCTGCTCTGTCCTGGGCTTTGCGGGTACCTTGGGGCGGTGAGTTCCGCAGGTTAGTTTCTCACTCGGCGGGGGACAGAGGGTGGTATTGTCTCATGCTGGTTTCAAATGTGCCGCCCAGCCCCTTGCTCGTGCGTTACGAGGCAGGGTAGGTAGCAGGTGGGTTACCCAGGTAACTGGGTAACCGTGTAACCGGCGAAAATTTCAGCGGTTCCACGCACCCGCAGTGCGGGGCGGCAGCCGGCTCCCTGGGAGGGGGTGGAGCCTGCATGTAGCTGTTCCCCGTAACCAGTAAGCCCGGGCGTATCGGCTGACTGTGTAACCGGTTCTCCTGCTACAACCCCAGCAGATAGAAAGGCCTGATCTTCCTGCTCTTGTCCATCTGCTGCCCCCTCACCTCTCTTATGAGCTGCCTTTTGAAAACCGAGACCCGGGGGGAGAGTCCCACCTGGACCCTCCCTGCACGCCAGGCGGAAGGGCCCGCGCTGGGCACGGGGGCTCTCAAAGCACTGGGGTTAGCTGGGGGCTGGTGCCTCTGTTGGAGACTGCAGTATGGCTGCCTTCCCGGGCTCCGTGCAGCGTTTTGTGAGCAGCTCCCCACCACTGATTGCCCCGGTGCGGAATGAATTTTGCTACATGCACCAATATGGAGGCGATGTGCCACACGTCCTCTCCGTGTTGGTGCATGTAACAAAACTCATTCCGCACGTGGACATGACAAATTGGGGGGCCTACTGGTGGCAGGCGTGAAGACGCAGCTCTGGCTTGTCCTCGGGCATTGCGCCGTACTTGGCGGACTGGACGGGGTTTTGCTGTGCAGTCTCTTTCCGGGGGTTCGGTCTCCTGGGGAATTAATCAGAGCAGCTGGTTAAAAAGCGGAGAAGCCGGAATGGCGCCATGTGGCTCACTCTGGCTCTTCCAGCTCCCCAGCCCAGAGCTCGGCCACCAAACGCAGCGGCCCCTCGGAGGATGCGACCGCCCCTTGCCGGTTGGTGCCCCTGCTCGTGGGTAGGCCCCAGGGGAGCCGTGGAAATCGGGCCCCTGAAGTTTAGTGTGGTTGGAGTCTGAGTGGCGTCGAGCGCCGTGGGGTCCGTGGCTCTGGGAGGGTGGTGGCAGCAGCTGCTGCAGGCAGGCCGGCCGTGCCCGTGTCGGGTGCATGTCTCTGGAAGGCAGGCGCCTGGGTCTCGGAGCCGTTGTGGGGAGGTACGTCTGCTCAGAGGCTGGTTTTGTCCAGCTCCTCCTCTCCAGACTGCGCTGGTCCAGCTGCCCACCCAGCTGCTGGTGCGAGCCCAAGTCGGCACCCCCAGCCTCTGAGCCAGGCTGCTGGGTGGTGGTTTGATGTGTTGCTCTGTAGAGGTCTGTCCCCAGCTGTCCGTGCTGTGAATTCCTGCTCCCTCACATGTAGTGAAGCGGGTGCAGCCGGGCGGGCTGCTCTGACAAGCACAACAAATTGGAATGGATGCAGAAAAATGTGTTCCCAGCTCAGCATCCCTCGTTCCTCTGTTCGGTGTCTCCCAGCACCCAGCCTGTGGCTGCTTGCAGAGGGCTCTCCCCTCCGGACAGCCCTGCCTCGGAGGGTGGGGGTGGCTTTTCACCCACTTGCAGGGCCCGGGAGCAGCTCTCCGCCCTGGTGCTCTGCCAGCCGGGTGCACGTGACCCGAGGAGCCGGTGTCCCCAGGAGGGCCGGTCGCCACGTGCCACATGGCTCTTGCGGGTTTGTGTCTCGCTCTTGCGTTCCAGCTGTGCAATGCGGAGCAGGCCCTGGCCCAGGCCCGGAAGAGGAAGCGCAGAACCAGCATCGAGAACAACGTCAAGGGCACGCTGGAGAGCTTCTTCCGCAAGTGCGTGAAGCCCAGCCCCCAGCAGATCTCGCAGATCGCCGAGGATCTCAACCTGGACAAAGACGTAGGTGTGGCCGGAGCTCGCCGGGGGTGGGTGGAGCCGCAGGTTCGGAGCAGGGCCCTTCGGAGGGACCCGCCCGCCTGCCCTGCCGGCACCTCTGCAAGTCAGGTCGGGGCCGCTGGAAGTTTTTCCGTCCAAACTCCTTTTTAAGGAGAACGTTGGGTTTGTGGCTCCCGCGAGGATTCGCCGAACCGCCCGGCTCGCCGCAGCCTGGGGGTGGTAGTCAAGAAGCCGACCTTTCGTTTTGCCAGCCCGGCTGCGGTGCCTCGTGGGAACTGGAGTTTAGGTGCCGCGTCTCCCTGTTCTCCTTTGGAGCGGGCTCTCCCAGCCAGACTACATCTCCCAGGATGCACGGCCTCCCACTTCATGTGGGCAGTGGCGCGCAAGGGGGGCTGTCGTCCAGCCACGGAGCCCAGCCTAGCGAGTAGGATGGGGACGTGTGGCACCCAAATGACACTTCCCGTAACTCGGGCACCTGAAACTTGGGACCCCAAAAAATCAAATTTTCCTTTGACACCTTGGCCAGAAACAATTCGCTTTGTGTTACCAACGTTTTCCACGTTCCTGTTCCCTCCTCCCCTACCCACGCCAGTTTTGGCGAGCTCTGATCCAGCCCTTTCGTGCCGAGGGCTGTGAGATTTTGCACGGAGCCGTCCAGCGCCAGCGGCTAGCCCACGCCCCGCCCCCCAGGGCAGGTGTGCTTCATGGATGCAGCGAGCGTGCACGTGGGCTCCCTGGGTAGCTCATTTCTCAGGTGGTACCCGCTGGTGGGAGTATCCCCCAGCCTGCCTGCAGGGGGGTGCAGCTGGGGAAGGAGCGGAGCGGTGTTGCAGGACAGCCTCGTTTGCGGTGGGGCCGTCCGAGTGCCAGGCGGCTCTGCAGAGATCAGCCTTCCTGCCCCTCCCGGCCGGTCCTGCTGAGCTGGGAGGAGGGGCAGGGCTCGGAGGGCGGAGGGAAGGCAGAAATCGGCCCACCAGACGAGCGCAAGGCTCCCTGGTGGGCTTGGTGCCGCTGGGCGCTTTGCTCCTCGCGGGAGGCGGGGGCTGTGGGAGGCTGAACTGGCCGGGCTGGCTCATCTCCCTTCTGTGCCTTCTCCCATCTCTGCCCAGGTGGTGCGGGTCTGGTTCTGCAACCGGCGCCAGAAGGGCAAGCGGCTGCTGCTGCCCTTCGAGGAGAGCGAGGGAGCCGCGTACGACATGGGCCAGGCCCTGGCACACCCGGCCCTGCCCGCCGCCATGAGTGCCCAGGCGTATGCCCCGGTGCCCCTGGCCTCGCCCCCTCCCATCTACCTGCCGGCTTTCCACAAGGGCGAGCTCTTCCCGCAAGCTTTGCAGCCGGCTGTCTCCATGGGGAATGGCAGCAACTGAGCCTGGCCACGGGGGGAGCTGGACGGAGGCGTCTCCCTGTCGGTGCTTGGCTGGCCCCCCGGAGAGAACAGCACCCCAGAGAGCCTGCGGCTGCTCCTAGACGCCTGACTCAGGGGCGGGGGGGCTGTGTGTGGTTTGGGGGAGCAGCAGCAAGCCAGGCCGAGGGCGCGGATCCCCCTGCGCCCTGGAGCGAAGCCCTGTCCGTCCTGCTGATGTGAATTGCTCCCACTGCCGGGAGCCGGCTTCTCCCGCTGGGGGGGGGCTCCCCAGCTGACCTACCTGTCCTGCCCCTCCCCCGGGGGGCGGGGCCTCGTTCACCTGTAAACAGCATGTTCTATATTGTTAGTTGGGAGGAGGAGAAAAAAGCCTTTTTTAGCTTTAAACCCGTCCTGTGTCTGTGTCTCTCGCCGGCCCAGGCAGCCACGAGCCTAAGATGCTAGGTGCCCCTGGCGTGGGCCCTTCGGTCTCCTGGGCAGATGGCAGTGGAGGCTCAGCCGGGCACTGAGCCATGCTGGTCTCGACCCCTCGGCGTTTCCCACGGAGAGCAGGTTTCGCTGAACAGCTCCAGACGTCCCCCCGTGGGGCTCTGGGCCGCCCCAGTGGCCATGTGGCCAGGGGCTGATCAGCCCGGGCTGGCATGGCGGATGGGCGGGCCACCCTGCTGGAGACCAGCCAAGGGCCCCGAGGGTTTCCAAACGGCTGCCGTGAAGCCCGGCTCCGGGCGTGCTCTGTGCTCCTAATTACCTGGTCGGAGCTGAGTTACTGTGTCTCTGCGGGAGGGGAGCACGTGGCACGGAAGGGCGAGACGGCCCCTCGCCGGGAGGGCTTAGAAATACTGGTGCCTCTCCCAGGCCCTGTGCCGGAAGGCTGGGATTTCCCCGGGCGGGAGGGTGACGAGCCCTGGGGGGGTTACCCCAGTAGGGAGGCACTGGTGGAAAACGCGGTTCTGTGTAGCGGCACCGAGCCATGCACACTGGGTGGTTCTCTCTAGACCTCTAGTACGGCGAGCACTTGCCCCGGGGACAGAGGGGCAGCGGAGGGCGCCCCTCTGGGAGCTCTGCTCCCAATAAGCACCACTCCTGGGAGGTGCCCGAAGGGCGCTCCCTGCTCAGAAGACGGGGCAGGTGCTCTGGCGAGCAGATGTGCTCTGCACCGGGTCCACAGGCAGCCAGGCTCGGCTTGGCTCCCCCTTGCGTCCATGCCTGGCTAGGCGGGTTGGGTGTCATTGCTGCTTGGCGGGCGATACGCAGACTAAGGACTTGGTCAGAGCAAGGGTCCGTCTCCTGCAGGGCCCGGGCTTCTGAGTGGCCAGTGCCATGTGCATCGGGACGGAGCAGAGCGATGCAGTTATCGAGCGATTCCCCTGCTGCCGCCCGCACCTGGTTTCTTGCAAACAGGCTTCGGGCCACCCCAAGCCTGGGGCTGCATCTCTGACGCGGCTAAGATCCCCTGGGAGCGTGTCCAGTTCTTGTTGGAGTCCAGGCTCCGCAGGTCGACTCTGCGTCGTGTGATGAATAACGTGCGTTTTTAAACCTGCCGCCTCTGGTGCTGCTGGGATTTCCTTCCTCTCACCACGCCAGGATCTGGGGCCCTCTCCCACCCCCCGTCTTTTCTAAGCTGAATAGTGGAGCCCCAGAGGGGAGCTGTTCCCTACTGCGCCTAATCCTTGTCACCCTTCTCTCGACCTATTCCCCCGCCGGTGAGATGGGCTGACGAGAACTGGGCGGGCGTACCGTGGATTTATACAGCGGCGCGGTATTTACTGTCGTCCTATCTGACCCTTCTCACATGGCTCGGGCCACTGTGGTTTTTTTCTCTAGGCCAGGCTCTTTCTCTCCGCTGCTCGGCTGAGGAAGTGGGTTTTGCCTGTGAAAGCGCCTGATACTAGATATTTTGTTGGTCTCTAAGGTGCTACTGGACAGCCCTTTCCTAATGCTTGGGGGGTTTTTTTCTGACTGCTGCTGCAAATTCAGGGATGTTTTCAGAAGACTTTACAATGACTCCAAGATCTCTCCTGAGTGGTAGCAGCTAATTTAGGACGCCCCTCCTGAGGAAGTGGGTTTTGCCTGTGAAAGCGCCTGATACTAGATATTTTGTTGGTCTCTAAGGTGCTACTGGACAGCCCTTTCCTAATGCTTGGGGGGTTTTTTTCTGACTGCTGCTGCAAATTCAGGGATGTTTTCAGAAGACTTTACAATGACTCCAAGATCTCTCCTGAGTGGTAGCAGCTAATTTAGGACGCCCCTCCCCCTCCTCCCCCCCTCCCTCCCCCATTGGTTGTATAATTGGGATTTTGTTTTACAATGTGAATTACTTTGCATTACTCAACATGGACTTTCTGCCATTTTGTCGCCTGGTCATCCAATTCTGTGAGGTCCCCTTGTAACTCTTTGCAGTTGGTCTTGGACCTAACTGGGAGCAAACTGCCGCCTCTCCGTCTGCCCCTATTTGCAGATCATATGGGCAGGTCGAACAGCCCTGGTTGCAGGCAGGCGGGGGGCGGGGGGGGGCTGGATCTCTCTGCACTGCCAAGGCCTCCACTGACCAACTACCCTGTTTCCTGTCTTAACCAGTTACCCATTCCCCGGAGGGCTTCCCTCCCCACCATGACTGACTTTGCTTCAAAGCATTTGATGAGGGACCTTGTCAGAGGTTTGCTGAACGCAAGGGCCCTGTTCTCCCTGGATTCCCCTTGGCACCTGCTGCTTGTCTGCCTCACAGAAATTCTAGTCGATGCGCGAGGCCTCGTTTTCCGTTACAAAATATCGTCTGGTCACTTGGGCTGGCAGCTGCACTGACGCTTCGTCCACCAGCCTTCTGCCATGACGTGTTCGAGTTCCCGCCAGTCGTGGGGGACCCGGGTCTTAGCCTGGTTTTATCAGCTTGTTCTAAACCCCCTCAACCCCTCACTTTGGGCCATGCCAGCTGCATGCCTGTCAGCCGGGGGTGCGGGGCAAGGGGGGTGCCGTCTGCTCCCTCCTGTGACGGCACGTTGGGGTCCCCCATCTCCTGCACCCCGAAATGGCACAAACAGACTGCACCAGCCGGTGGAATAGAGGAAGTTTATTGCCTCTCCAGGATACAGCATAGCACAGATGTAGTCTGGTCACAGAGCTGGGCTAGGATGCCTCAGGCCCCCTTGAGTTGGGGGGAGACTGGGCCCCTAAACTCCAGCCCCTTTCCCTAGGCTGTCTCCTCCATGCTCCCAGACAGCAACTAACTAACCCTCTTCCAGCCCTGCCCCCCAGCCAGGGCAGCCTCCACCTTCCTTTGTTCCTCTCCATGGGGGGTGTCTGGCCCTACTCGTTTGCATAGTGACTCATCCTGTTTTGCTGGGTCCTGGTACCCACGGCAGCCAGTGGGGGTTACCCCAGAGCCAGCAGCATAGAAACCAGCCAGGTACCCCCACTACGTCACACCTCCTACCGATGGTCCCTGTTCGCTCCCCTCACTCCTGTTCTCACCTTGCACTGAGATGCTGGCGCCGTCCCCGCGAGCCTGGCGTGTTCCTGCCCCGCGCAAGGTAGCGGCAGGTTATTTCAAGCTGCTTTCTGTAGGACTGACCCCTGCAGCACAGTAGCGGATTGGCGTGGGGGCGCACAGCAAATTCTCTGTACAGCACCTAGCTCCAGGAGGCCCAGCCAGGCACGTCTGCCCAGAACAGGGCCGCTGCTGTAGGAGGACGCTGGGTATGTGGGGGGGGGGGAGAGAGGCGAGTCCCCGGGATGGAAGCGAACGGTTTGGTCTCAGTCCCCTGCTGCCCTGACTGCCAGCGACCAAGCGGGTCAGGGGCGTCCTCCCTGCCCTTAGTGGGTCCAATGAGTCACCTGGACGGATCAGAAACTGGCCCCCTTGGGAGGAGGAGACACGGCTCCAGGGCTGTCTGGGAGCCAGCGACATGGGCCTTCAGGGCAGCAAGAATCTGCAATGGGCACACGTCCTGGGGGCAGCTTGGGGCTAAGGGGGGCAGGAAACATTTCTCCTGGGCAAACTCCAGTGCAAGCCAGTGTCTCCCTCTTAGGAACCGTTCTCTTTGGGCACCTGCCTTGTGGTGGCACCTTCCCCCGTCCCGGGCTGGCCCCTGCTGCGCTGGGAGCTGTGTGCACCCGGCCAGACGGTCCCTGCCCCCAAGAGCTGACAGGCTCCCTTAGGACATGGGGCGGGGAGGGAACTGAGCAGGATCCAAGGACCTAGGTCCCTTCATGGCTGCCATGCAGCTTAACAGCAAAGCAAGCCCAAGAGGGCATGGGGGCAGGGCAGGGAAGAGCTGGAGGCAGGATGTGTTATGGGAACGGGCACCTGGGGTCAGGCTTGGAGCAGGCTGAGGAGGGGTGTCAGCCCCACACTGGTAGAGGAGGGGCTGTGGGGAGCCTGGGAGCTGAACTTGGAGGCTGTGGGGCTCCTGGAAAGGTCATGCCAAGGGTTTCCCCGCCACGGGCTGCAATGGTAAGTCTGGCTGTCTGCACCAGGCAGCCTCCGGTTCACGCAGAGGCGTCCGGGAAGCCCCGTGTCTTGCAGACGTCAGGTCGATCACAGTGCTCCCTTCTGGCCTCGTAACTGAGCCCCAAGAGTAATCTGTGATGACGCACATCTCCCTTCGGGGAGTGCACCGCGTGGCTGCGGAGAGGTGCCCGGTTGTTTTGGTTTCCTGTTGTTGGCACTGGGAGCGCAGGGGGTGTTGGTGCTGGGTGGGTCTCGCTGTGAAATGCTTCTAACCACAGTTCAGCGAGGTGTCGTTCTGCACGGTCTCAGGCTTGCACTTCGGACGCTCCCCGGCTTCCTTTCAGCCCATCAGCACAGAGGTGTTAGTGATTGTGCAAGGCAGCAGCCTGTTCCCGGAGGCGAGAGCGTGACCCCCAGCTCCTGAGCAGAGCCCGCTGAGTCGGGGCCGTTCGACTGGCAGGAGGGTCTCGGGAGTTTGCAGCTGGCTTTGTGACCTGGGGAGAAGGGGAGGGGGCAGAGGGTGGGGACGGTGACCTGGGGAGGGAGGGAGGGGTTGGGGGAAGGGGCTGAGGTGCCAGAGGCAGGCTCTGGTCGACAGGTTCTTACCTAGGTGGCCTCCTGCCTGCCGTGGGTTGCTCCCTGCAGCTCTCCGCTCTGAGGGCTGGAGAGAGGGGGAGGCTTCACGCGCGGTCCTCGCCCCCAGCAAAATCTCTCCGCTCCCATTGGCTGGGTTCTGCAAAGCCTCTGAGGGCAGAGAGCAGAGAGCCCCAGGGAGCAGCCAGCTGCTTCAAGCAGGGGGCTGCTCTGTGATTGTGGGTCCCGGCAAAAAATACCTGTCCAAGTGGAACTGGACGGGGGCATTGGGGCAGTGGAACACAGACCTGAAATGCCGCCTGTGCAGCCTCCCCCCCCCATCCCAATGCCCGGTGTAATTGACACC